GGGGGGGGGGGGGGCCTGTGCCGGGGCAGTGGGTACATGGGAAAGCTCTGCACCTTCTGCTCAATTTTGTTGTGAACCTAAAACTGCTCTAAAAATGTTGATTAAAAAAAGAAAGATAGGGCCGGCCCGGTGGCGCACTGGATAAGTGCGCCGCTTGGGAAGCGCGGCGGCGCTCCCGCCCGAGGGTTCGGATCCCACATGCAGGCCAGTTCCTGCTCACTGGCTGAGCGAGGTGCGGGGGCAACACCGAGGGTTGCGATCCCGTTGCCGGTCCCCGGTCCGGTAAGGGGGCAGCACTGAGGGTTGTGATCCGTTGCCGGACACGGAAAAAAAGACAAAAGACAAAAAAAAAAAAAAAGAAAGATATACAAGGTTCTTAACAAATCCATCAATTTCATGTTTTTGGAAAAGGATGAAGTCACAAGGGAGAAAGTTCCATTTATTTCAATTTCAGGAAATATTAACTTTAATAATTTAAAAATGTTTCAAAGAAAATTCCTCCTGACAATCTTGTGTCTTGCTTCTTTTCTGTTGCTGTTTAAAGTCCATTAATTTCCAAGTGGAAAGTTCTACTCGTGACAAAGCAGGCTAACCTCATAACCTGATGGGACGTCTCAGCACCCTATGAGAACCCTCAGTATTCACCATGCTGAGAAGAAACCCCACAAGGCAGACTTTTGGTCAATGAAAGATCCCTCTTATCCTGAGGAGGAGGGGGTGGGGACAGGCGGGCAGGGCCGGGTTCCGCTGCAAGGCCTGTGAGTCAGGACAGTGACTCAGGCCTGACTGGCAGGGCTCCGTGAGCCAGCACTGTGGAGTGATTCTGCCTGAAGCTCCTTTTCCAACCTCACCCACCACATCCATTTATGAAATAGCAACGACGCTGCTGGAGGAAACACGGGGCTGCAGAGACATCAGATTTTCTTAACTTAAAAAAAAAAGGGCGGGGGAGCTTTTAAGAGTCCCCATTCTATTGTTTTTTACATGAGAAAATTCCTCCTATGGGGACTTACAGCCAAGTAAAACTAAGAGCCTCTGGACTGTCCCAACGACCCCAAATAAAAACTGCCCCTGATTCCTGCTTGAGAAGTGACTTCTTGACACAAGGGTAAGAGGGCTGCACTTGACCGCACTCCCCAAATCTATTTCCATATCAAGCGAGAAGGGCCATCCCACTGCACCGTCTCTGCTTATTTGGTCACAGCAAGCTGTGAAGCCAACAACTGATGGATGATGGGCCTTGTAGGGACAAGGTTTCAAGGTATCACCTTACTCCCCTACCTCACTGCCCTAGGGGCCCATCTGCCTTCTGAATACCAAGCAGCAGCAAGGCAAGGATTCCATGCCTTACTACTACCCCCACCACCTTAGTCACAAGTAACAACCTATGAGCATGGGCAGACCAGCAAGAAAAGCTTTCACAGCAACAGACTTTGTCTTGCCTAAGCCTCCATCAATTTAAGAACATTTTTTTACATGGAGTGTGGTAGAAGGAACTATGGAAACCAATGAGGCACATACCTTTTGAGGTGTAAAGATCAACCTCAACAGTGGGATTCCCACGCGAGTCAAAGATCTCTCTGGCATGGACCTTGAGAATAGACATGGTGAACCTCTGTGGGGAAAGATATAGTTCATATTTTCCATAAACCAGTGTAGCAGTTGTTCATTCATTCAAGGGATGGATCACTCTGAGGGCTCCAGGACTAGAAAGAATCTGTATCAGACTAAATATTCGATGCAGGAAGGCTGGTTCGAGGAGGAAAAAGTCTGCTACAGAGCCCTGGGAATTGTTCCTAAAAAAAAGTAGGTTGTGCCCAGTTCTGGAAGGCCTTAAACCTCAGTTCAGGTCTCATCCTATAAGCAAAAAAAGCCTGAAAATGTGTGCGCCAGGGAGAAATCAAATCCAAATGGAAAGATTCATGTGTCGATGGCACACAGAATGGCTCAAGAGGAGAAGTCTGAAACTGGTTACTGTCAGTTAACACTGAGGGTTGGCATGGGGACGGAAATGGCAAAGGAAGAACAGACATGAAGGGCAAAGGAAGAACAGACATGAAGGTCACCGACAAAACCATCCAAGACAACGTCAAAAAGAACGGGAGGGGGGAACCAGGAGGAAAGTCTGGCTTGTAGTGCAACAGTGAGTTAAAAGTTTGGGACATAATTCATCAAATTAAATTTGAGGTAGCAGCAGAACATTCGATTGGTAGATATGTAATAATCAGTTAGAAATTCTGAGTTTGGACTCAGGAACAATGAGCTCCGTGGTTTGTGTACTGTGACCTTTGCTACTGATTCTGCCACTTTCTGGGCCTTTCAAATTTCACAGTATTTGGGTCTTTAGCAGGACAGGACATACCAATAATGACATATAATTGGTATTTCTTTCAAAGGGCATTTTACCTGATTTAAAAAACTTAATAATGAAATGCTATGATTTGGAAATAGAGAAAAGATTCTATCTTTGAACACCAGGAAGAGAAGAGGCTTCCTTTGGGGGAAAAAAAGACTTGCAGAAACAAAGAGCAAATAGCAAGTCCTCAAAGAAAGCCCTTTTCTTCCTTTTTTCTTGTGGGGCTCCCCAGAAAAGAAACTAATTGGACAACTAATGAAATTGAAGTGAATGAGAGGAATTGAATTCATGTTCAGAAGCCATTATCTAGCTGGGCTCCGATCCAACACCTTCTCTGGAATGTTCTGAAGCAGCAAATGACATCTTTTTTTAAATGCAAAATCAGATACTGAAGTCACTTCTGTGGCTTTGTCATCTATTTAACAATCAAGTTTTATTCATCAGTCAAGAAAAAGGTATCTAATTTTATCTACTATGTTCCAAAAAGGCAAATTTGTTTAAACATAGTTTTAAAAATTTAGTTAACTTTTAGTTTTGGCAAATTATATACTTGTGTAACATTTCCATTATCCCAAAAAGTTCCCTCAGGTTATTTCCAGTCAATTTCCCCCATCCTCAGGCCACCACTGATTTACTCTGCAGATTTCAGATGCACTTTTAAACACATCTTTATTACACTACCTCAGTATTTTTAGTTTAATTTTAGTGAAATTAGACAAAATAATTAATTTCATGATGTAAAACTAAAATGTAACTCATCTTTAAACTGGAAAGAAAAACTATTCTCCAAAGTCATTAAAGTTCAGGGAGCACAGTCAGGGAGGAGGGTTGGTCTGCCAGTCTTCACAGCTTTTCCATTCTTTTTTTTTCTTTAAATACACACCAATGAGGTTGAACTACCAGTCCTCACAGCTTTTTAACTGCCTGGATTGAACCTCGTACCAGGGGCAGAATAAATGGACAGAGCAGTCACAGCCTAGGTGGGCCCCGAAGGCAAGTCAACCATTGGATCACACCGCCCAGGGGCAAGAACACGTGGCGGAGAAACGGCAACAGGAAGCTTTCTTAAAATGCATCCTTTTGAAGTCCGGTCGGGGCCTGATCTTGGTGGCCAGCCGGGGAGCCAGGAGCAGCGCTTGCCTAACCTGGGTGAGGTCGCCCTGAGGGCTTCCCAGTCATCCAACGGTACTGCTGCAGTTCCCTCCAGAACAAGCACATTCTCTCAGTCACTCCCTACTCCGGCGCGGGGATGCGCTGGACACCCCGACGCTGAACTGCAGGCCCTGAGCCAGCGCGGGGAGCAGGGGCTGCCGGTGGCGGGAGCAGGCACCGCAGCTCGTGGGCATCTCTTCCTTCCCTGCGCCTCCCTCCATTTTAGGAATGGCCCGGCTTTAATGAGGACCGGGGCTAAGTCTGTATTTTTCCCCCAAACCTCCCAGTTGACTAGGTAAGGCCAACCTCCCGCTCCGAGCTCTTGCTGTTTTAAACGGCCCGCGTGTGCTGCTCCTGACTCTCTAAGCAGTTACCGACCCCCTGTAATCCCGTAGTCACGTGCTGGTCTGCACCTCCCCCCTCCACAGCAATCGGGCGACCCACATGTGGGCCTGGCGCCGCGCCCCCGCCCTGGGCACGGACCTCCGGGCCTCGGGGTCTGCAGGGGACTCCGATTCCGCCCAGGGAAGGTGGCTCGCACCTGGTGACCGACCCCCCTGTACCCCTCCCAGCCACGCCGTCTCTGAGGGGAAGGGGCCCCGCAAGCCTGGATCGGCAAAGGCTCGGCAGCCCTTCCCCGCAGTCCTCACCTGGCCACCGGATCTCGTCGCTCAGGGAAGAAGCAGAGGCTGCTGAGGACAGCGAGGCGAGAGCTAAGCCAGTGAGGTCTAGGTGCCCCGAGTGCCCCGAGCCCTTCTCCACGCCGCCCACCCAGGCTTCCTGCCCATCT